GATGTTGTTGTTGTTGAGTGCCATCGAGTCGGGTCCGACCCATAGCGACCCTGTACAGGGTTTCCGAGGGTGTAAATCTTTACAGGAGTAGAAAGCCTCTTCTTTCTCCCGCGGAGCGGCTGGTAGTTTCGAACCGCTGACCTTAAGGTTCGCAGTCCGATTCGTAACCACTATGCATAGATAGATAGATATAGACAGACAGACCTGGTGTGGCATTGTAGGATAATGCCCTGAACCTAAAGGTCAGTTTGAACTGCAAGGTGGGCAGTTCAAACCCACCAGTTGCTCTTCAGAAACCCCAGACAGGGTCACTATGAGTCAAAACAGACTCAACGACACTTAACAACAACAAGATATATATATATATATCCCTTTCGTCCTCCCTTACACATTCAGCCTATGAGGGGGAAAAAAGTCTACCTTTTACTCCTGACCTTCTTGCTTTTTAAAATGTGCTTTTAGTCTTACACCTGGAGCCCCTTATCATGCTTCAAATCTTCCATGTCTTCCAAACCCATTGCTGCGGAGTCGATTCTGACTCATAGAGACCATACCTATTGTACAGAGCAGAACTAGCTCATAAGGGTTCCATGGCTATAACGTTCACAGAAGCAGACTGCCCTCATCTTCCTCTCTTGAAGCAACTGGTGGATTTGAACTACTGACCTTTTGGGTTGCCGGTTGAGTGTATAACCACTGTATCTTACCCACTCCAAAACCTGACAGTTGCTGAATCTCAGCTAAATTGCCACCCTGGAAAACGGTTCACATGGAAGGAGGACAAATCTGATTAATCTCAGCGATACATTATCCATAGTGTCTCGTGACTCAACTCAGCCTCATTCTACTTTAACTCTACAAAGCCAAGGACACTTGAGGCATCTTAGGTTGTCGCCACGCTTAGCCCACTGTTACGTCAGATTCCCTGCTGCCAGCCACTCCTGCTATCCAAATAAAATGTGCAGGAAACCAACCTTTCATTAGTCAATCCTAAAAAAGATGAGCGCTATTAGCTATTTGTAAACAAAGAAAAACTTGTGACTAGTGTGCACTGGACAATAGGTCGTTTATGTCTCAATGTTTAGTCAAGATGCTACGATGACTTGCCTAAGAGATTCAATGTTTATGAAACCATCAATATGTTATTAAGTAAATTATATGTATTAAATTATATTTATATATAAACATGTATTACTTGCCATGGGTAGCTAAGGAGCTATTTTCTCTCTGGTCAAGTCAGGATGTGGAAGAAACAGAAACTATAGAGGGAGTCTTAACCCAACAAATTTGCATAAAATGGCCCAAAGAAATACTCCTTTATTGATAGGAATGTAGAATCAGTGTCTCAGGAAAAAGACCTTGGGCACCAACCCCGCCCAGAAGCAACTTAGAAAATTTTTGCTTGAGTGAGCAGTTTCTAAGGGAGGGGTTCTGGTGCCAAGTCTTACTAATATCTGCAAGAAATATTTTACATCAAGCTAGATGTTTTTAAGGAGTCCTGGTGTGGTGCCCTTGATCTTAAAATCAGTTTGAACTTCAAGGTCGGCAGTTCAAATCCACCAGCTGCTCCTTGGAAACCCTATATAGGGTTACTAAGAACCAACTCGACGACACTTAACAACAGATGCTTTTATGCAGAGACCTGGTGTGGCGCTATAGGATAAGCACTGGACTGCTAATTGCAAAGCTGGCATTTCAAACCTACCAAGAACTCCAGGGTCACTAGGAGTCGAACCAACTAGACAGCATTTAACTACAACATATATTTTTACAATCTGTTTGGAAGGCATCCATTTTAACTACACTGTGAGTGTGACAGTAAATCTGTGTCTGAATGAAAGTTTGCAATCAACTCTTCAAACTAATCTTTGTAGCTCATGACATATGTATCCAACAGTAGCCAAGTCCCTGCCTCATTTAATCATGCCCTCTGGTACCCCAATTGAAGACAGGCCAATCAATGATTTTGTTGTAATTTCTTGCTTTATCCCTATATCTGTCCTTGTTTTGTGATCCTTTCTCTGGGGCTCACTAGTTTACATTTATATGAGCAAGTGATTTCCTCCATTCAAATGGTTTCTCTTCTATAATAAATTCTCTTGCTCTGTCATCTCGGCCACCCACATGCCACACAGACTACAGAAGACCCAGAAACTTAGGGAACACGTGCGCCACGACCAGACTGTATCAGCAAACACTGGAAGCCCCCAAGGAGGCTGGGATAATGCTGCTGCCATGCGCCACCACAGGATCGACGTCAACAAAGATCATCCAGGTTACTCTGGGAAGGTGGGCATAAGACATTACCACTTGGAGAAGAATCAGAGATTCTGCCCAACTGTCAACCTTGATAAATTGTGGACCTTGGTCAATGAGCAGGCAAGGGTAAATGCTGCCAAAAATAATCCTGGGGCTGCTCCCATCACCGATGTGTTGACAAAGTTCTAAGGAAGGGAAAACTCCCAAAGTAATCTGTCATTGTGAAGGCCAAATTCTTCAGCAGAAGCGGTGAGGGGAAGATGAAGGGGCTAGGGGTTAGAAGGGAGAATCATGTGTATGATTGGCTTGAAGCCACATGGAGGTTAATGAAATGTTAAATGCCTTCCCTTCATGGTCTGAGTGTAGGCTCTTTGGTGACAACTCTGAATCCTTACCTATGCAGCTAATGCTGAGCACTGCCAGCAACAGTACCCACCTAACAGGTCTTAGGAGTATGAGGGCATGTGTTTCCCTCCCCTCAGAAACTGTATGGCAGGGATATATTAGCACTTTGGAGGATTGGCCAATTGCCTAATATAACATTTATTTTCATTTTTAAACTGGAAATTATACCTGTTGATTATATATTATCTTCTAGTTAAAAAATATATATCCTCTTAAAAATTTCTTTTAAAAAAGTTTTGATTTTTTTCTCATCAACAGTCATAATAAAGTATTATTAGCAATTCTGCCCATGGTGAAGAAAACGTATTCTTAGAAATTTTACATTGGAGTTGTTATTAAGTGCTGTCAAGTTGATTCTGATTCATAGTGACCCTATAATAAGGCTTCTGAGGAGTGGCTGGTGAATTTAAACTGCTGATCTTGTAGCTAACACTGACCTTTCAGTACTGTACATTATTTCACAATGCCACACTGGTTGTTGTTGTTGTTATGTGCCGTGGAGTCAGTTCTGACTCATAGCGACCCCGTACAGGGTTTCCAAGGCTGTAAATCTTTACAGGAGCAGCTGATAATTTCGTACTGCTGACCCTGAAGTTAGCAGCCCGATTCGTAACCACTAAGCTATCAGAGCTCCTTTACCATCTGATAAACACACTTTCTGGTTTCTAGTAAATGCTACTGTATTACAATGTATCATATTAAATCTACTCCAAATATGTATGCTAAGGGAATCTCTTCAGTAAACCAACAGTTGAATCCTCTCTTGAGAGAGTTGTTGTTGTTGTTACGTGCCATGGAGTCAGTTCCGACCCATAGAGACCCTGTACAAGATTTCGGAGGCTATAAATCTTTACGGGAGCAGAAAGCCTCATCTTTCTCCCGCGGAGCAGCTGGTAGTTTCGAACCGCTGACCTTAAGGTTCGCAGCCCAATTCGTAACCACTACGCTACCAGAGAGAGTTGTTGTTGTTGTTAAGTGCCATCGAGTCGGGTCCGACCCATAGCGACCCTGTACACGGTTTCCGAGGGTATAAATCCTTACGGGAGTAGAAAGCCTCATCTTTCTCCCGCGGAGCAGCTGGTAGTTTCGAACCGCTGACCTTAAGGTTCGCAGCCCGATTCGTAACTACTACGCTACCAGAGAGAGTACAGGTATGAAAACAAGGCTCTTCTGCTACAGACTACTACAGGGCAATAGATTGTTGTTGTTCAGTACCATCCAGTTGGTTCTGACTCATAGAGACCCCATGTACATGAGACTGAAACCTTGCCCTGTCTTCCTCCATCCTCACAATCGTTGCTATGTTTAAGCCCATCGCTGCAGTCACTGTGTCTACCCATTTGTTAGAGGGTCTTCTGGTTTTTCACTGACCCTCTAACTTTACCATGCATTGAGCTGCTAGAGCTGCTAGTCCAACAATTCCAGCTTTCTAAACAAAGGGCAAAACTGAAATTCCATCTTCTGTTCAGTTAATCTTACATGAGGACTCTAGTAATATCCCATGTGGAGGATGGGCATTACAAATCCAACAGCCAGGATCTCCATAAAAGTCAGAAGCAAAAGAATTCACAAAATATAGGTGGGTCAATACAAGGCTTTGAGTGTTGCTTGGATACTAGATACCTAAGCACAAACGCCAGTATATAATAAGCCATCAAATATTTCTTTCTTACCTCTTCTACATTTGTACTGGATTTTGCACTTGTCTCCAAGAATTTAATCCCATAGTCAATTGCTAACTGAAAGGCAAAACATTAAAATTCAGTGAAAGCTTCTTAGACATATTTATATTTTCAAGGTCTCTGAAGTCTCCAAGGTAGAGTACCTAATCCAGAACACTCATGGTTTTAAAATTTCTTTACCTTCTCTTATTATGTTAGAAATTTAATCATATAATACACAGTTTAGTAATTTTTTAAAAAAGGCACAACTTCCACTTAAAATAGTTTTAAGTACTTTTTTCTTTTCTCTTGTGCTTTTAGCTCTAATATACTTACAAGAAAAACTATGGCACAGACAACCTCTCTACCATTAACTCCAGATTCTTCGGCCTCTTTCATCTACTTCCAAAGTGCAGTTCTCCAACAGTTACGATATTGATTTTAATATTCATTTAAAAAATAAATTGTTATATAAGCAGAAGCTTAAAAGATCAAAGTGTTCATTGCTTTGATTTCTATTGATTGAGACAGTTCATTGATAACATGAAGATGAAGTGAATATTTTTGTTTGCCAGCTATAATGAAAAACATGACGCATTTTCCACATATCACTATAAAAGGCCAGAGTAAAATTCCAACACTTAAAAAGTGAGCAAAATGAAGCCTCAAAGTCAATGTAGAAAATGTCATAGTAAATATATACATAAAATCAACGCTTGCTTTGCAGGGCACCAAATAGAAATGTGTCTGTCTATAAATGCCAATAATGGCATCCACAGCTTGATGAGTTACAAATCATTTATCCATAAACCAAAAGACAAAACCACTACCATAAGTAAATATGATTCACAGTGACGCTATATAGGGTTTCCAAGATTAAATCTTTAGGGGAGCAGACTGCTTTACCTTTCTCCTGAGGAGCAGATAATGGGTTTGAACCACTGACTTTGTGGTCAGCAGCCCAATGTTCAACCCATAGTGCCAAGATACTGACGTGCAACTAATGTATTCTTACAAATTCTTTAATAAAATAATGAATTGGAAAATTATTACTGTTGAAAACTCACCTATCCAATTACATTTTTCAAAGAAAATGAATTACTTTAAAACTGGGCATTTTTACACAGACATTAAAAGAAATAGCCTAGACTATTCTAAACTGCAGGAATCTTGAAAAGCACCAATTTGTATCTCTCATAAAACATTAGCAAATTCTTTAGGAATGAGTCATGCCCACACAGTATATGGTGTTGGACCTGGAATACTAATTCACACCATTCAACAAGTATAGATTGCATCTCTTTCTTCGTGACAATACTAAAGGACCAAAACATGGATATTTTAAAAACTTAGAGCAATAATTAAGCATTACCAAGAAAATAAATGCGACCTTTATATATGCAATTCAAATTTACCTTTTCCCCTCTTTCTTTTGATACTTGTCTTTTGTCATTCATATCACATTTGTTACCCAAGATCATTCTTTCAACATCTGAAGAGGCATGCTGCAGGGAGAAAACAGAATGTTATAAAAAGGTCTTGAGAGAAACCACAGTTATCCAATAGACAAATTCTAACCTGTCAGAAACACACGCAGACATTTAACAAGACCAATAATCTTTCACTCAACACTAGGACTGGAAAAGTTTAGAAGACAGGAGGAGGGGAGACGCTTCTGTATGAGAGCATTCACAGAGCCAATGCAACTTATTTTTTTTTGCAAACTATTTTGCAGAACTTCATTCTTGTGTCTCTTTTTGTACATGAACAAACAAATAAAATGCACGGTTATATAACGACAAAATATACAAACATATGTAAGGGTGGAAGAAGGAAAAATAAAACAAAACAAAACTCTGACCTTCCGTGACCCAAAGGCAAATTCTGGATTCTACACTATTGAAAAAATAAATTCCAGAGGGTAGCAGATATGTGTGCAAAGCTATCTCAGAGTCATCATTTCTTTCTGAAATGGCAAAGACCCAGAAGAATCGTAATGCCCATCCATCTGTTATGGGTTCACATTTTCAAATATCCAAGATGGAGGAAAGGTGGCAGGCACAAAATGTGAAATCGCCATGGTAAAAGATCTGTTTTTGCTAGGCCTGACAGACAGACAGAACCTGGGCATCCGAAGTTTTAGTCCTGGCCCTCCTTTTAAAAAAGGCTGTCTAAGTATATAGGCAGTTCCTTTCCTCTGGCCTTCATTTCCTCACGTGTAAAATAGAAAGTTGGATTAAATGATTTCTAAATTCTGGTCCAAGCTGAACATTCTGTGTGTTCACCCCACAGACAGGTGCAGGGCAGCCCCACAGGCAGAACAGGATAAAGCCCTCCAAGGCGATCCTCAAAGGAGAGGGCCTGCGCTGTCCAGACCCTACTTAGCTGTCTCAGGGAGATGAAAGCCCACTGCCATGGAGTCAATGCCCTCTCATGGGCCCCCTATAGGACAGAGCAGAACCGCTCCCTAGGGTTGCAGAGGCTGTTTATCTTTACAGGCGCAGACAGCCTCATCTTTCTCCTGAGGAAGGGCTTGGTGGGTTTGAACTGCTGACCTTGCGGCTAACAGCCCAACAGCGCCACTCGGACTCTGTCTCAGAGACACGACACGGAGGGAGCCTTTTTAGGAGAACCCAAGAGGACCCGTCTCCAGTATCATCATTCACTTTCCATAAATACCTCTTCGATGTTTCTTATCCAATTTTTAATATTGTCAAAGGACTTTTCATTTGTGATGTCATAGACCAGCATAATTCCCTATAAGAGAAAAACAGTCAGTAGTTTATATATTTAATATTAATATTAATGTCAATGTACTCCCCACTCCAAAACTCTTGTATTCATGTGTCCTCCCCAACCCTTTATAAAGAGGATTCACAATAAATTTGAAAAACACAGAGAATTAAATAAATAAATTCTTCCACTGTCTCACCATGTAAATAAATAAAAACTCTGCTAACATTTTCACTGTTAAACTTTAATGAAGTAGTGATTATGGTAAAGATGATACACCCGTTCTACCTGACCTCACAGGATAAGAATCAGCACCAACTGGCACCATGGGAGTGTTTAAGCTAAAGTAGAGGTAACATTGAGAGTAGGAGGTGGTCACATCCAGTGTGCACTTGTTTAATCCAAATAGAAAGTATCTCCCTTTATATTCTCCTAGTATGATTATACCATACTACCTTTAAAATGATTTTTTTTTTTAAATTTGGGCTGATCAAAATGTCATTATTTAGCTAAGTGAATCACAGACATTTAGGCTATAATGCATTGCCATACAAGTTTAGTGAAAGGCAGTCATATTTTTAAAGACCCCAGGTATGGTATTTCTGAAGGGTTCACCTTCCAATTGCTTCATCTAACACCTGTATGTTAACTATCACCAAATCTGTATCTCTACACAACACTTAAAGAACCCTGGTGACACAATGGTTAAGTGACTGGCTGCTAAACCTAAGGCCAGAGGTTCAAACCCACCAGCAGCTCCATGGGATAAAAGACCTAGCAATCTGCTCTCATAGACTCTAACCTAAGAAACCTTATGGGGCAGTTCCACTATAGGGTCACTAGGAATTGGCACACAACAGCAACAATAGACCTACTAAGTGCGACATCCACCATTCATCCATCCAACAAATATTTCGTGGGTACCCTACATTGTGCCATATTGTGGTTGGTATTACCAGCAGTGAACAAAATCAACAAGGTCCCATCCTCTGGTGGATGGGTAAAGAAGGAAAAAGACAATGAACCATAAGTAAACTATTATTTAATTAATCTAACCTGGAATGAGGTTTGAAGGCTAGAGTTGTCAGGGAAGGATCCCCTAAGAAAAGAGCATTAAAGCCAAGGCCCGGGGACTGAGGAGACATGAACTGGACAAAGGGGCTGTGGGTGAGGTGAAGAGGGAAAGCCCGCAATACTGGCACATAACAGAAGCATTACAAGTATTTTGCGGTCTATGAAAGCCCAGAGCCCACTGGAAAGAAAGTCAGTTTGGCAGGAGTGCACAGATCCAATGGAAGAAGGGCACAAGATGAAGCTAAAGAAGTAGGCAGAGGCCAGATGAGCCCTGGTAATGGTGGTGATGTGCCGTGGAGTTGGTTCTGACTCATAGTGACCCTGTACAGGGTTTCTGAGGCTGTAAATCTTTACAGGAGCAGAAAGCCTCATCTTTCTTTCATGGAACAGCTGGAAGTTCTGAACTGCTGACCCTGAGGTAAGCAGCCCGATTCGTAACCACTACACTACCAGAGCCCTAGATTCAACTAACTGGATATCAACACCTAACATATTCCCTGTCGTCACCACAAACTCAACTAAGTAAAACACGAGGTTGTCTTCCTTACCTCCAAACCTTCAAAAATTTTCTGAGCATACTGGTTTCATCAAAATTCAAGGTTTCAACTTGAATCTTAAATTTTGAATTTAGGACTTAGGCCTTATACTAGAGAACGTCTAGGCATTTCCCTTGTTGCTATGATCAGAATTGTAGAGCATGGAATCAGAAATACTCCTTGGTTCTCTCGGCACTTACCAACAATAATACAGAGATCCACTACACTAAGCTACTTATGAAGCCAATGTTATGTTCCAGGGGAGATGGGTAGTTGCCCCAGTTTTTCTACTAAGCCAGGTATATGCTCTCAGATGGACTTAACCATTCAAGTTGCAGTTTCCTACTCAGTAAAAGAAGGGGCTGGTGGATTTCAAGGCTGGACTTTCTAGGTTCTAAGTTGCCTATTTACCACTGTAGTCTTAGCACCACATAGAACCAGAACCAACAGGCACTATACATGGATTGACTGGATGAACCATTTTAGGATGTAAAATAACTAAGTGATGAAGTTATGAGAACATGGGTAAGGGCAGCATGTTGCACAGGACTGGGAAGTCAAGATTCCCCAGACTCTAGAACTCCAAGTCACAGATCACTTAGCTACTTCCTGATTAGTGGGCAGCATAAAAGCGAAGGAGACTCCACACATACGCGGTGGATGTTGTGAAGGTGGTAAGAGATAAGGGGTGATGTTGTTAAGGCTGAGTAACAAGGAGGAGGAGCAAGAAATAAATACTCAGCCACGGGGCTTGTGGTTTGCTAAGATATGGCATAAAGTCTTAATAAGAGGGAAAATCATAAAAATATATAATCACTACAGAATGCATGAAGGAATTCTAGAATACCAACAAGCTAATCGTCTGATCATTATTATGAAAACCAATGGCAGAGTATACAGTTACTAAACATTAAACCTACCAAAAAAAAGTCCCTTTAAATGTCTTGGTTTCATCTCAAGAAATCTATTTCCTCTCATTGCACTAGACTCTAGCTTGAATCATCTAATCCAGCCAGATGAATGTCCATGTTTTATTTTTACCTGAAGAATTATAAAACCCTCAAACCACACTCACCATGGCTCCTCTGTAGTATGCTGTGGTAATTGTTCGGAATCTTTCCTGGCCCGCTGTGTCCCTAAGATTTGAAACAAAAGAGAGAGTGGTTTTAGAAGTGATCCCCAGCATCACGGAGGGGAGGCTCTAAGCTATGTGAGAAACAATTCTGGTCTGCTCACAAGTGCACTGGTTGGGAGGGAAGGGGACTAGAACACAAAGAGAACCTGCTGTGTGTCTGCCATCTGGAGTTGGTGGTGGACCCCAGAGCCTGTCAGGGGATCACAGTGTCCTGGGTGAAGAAGTTGGACCTTAATGATATAAGCAGCAACCTGCTAGGAACTGGTAACCAGTGTGAGCTCAAATACACGTGGGAGGGCACAGGGAATCGTCTGAATTCTTGGACTCCCTGAGGTAGGGATAATCATTTTTATAAGTACTTAATGATTAAGACATTTTACTCTCTTGACTGGAAGTGTGATTTCTGCACAAAGCAAGCAATTGAGCTGGATTTACTACTGTGCGACTTCAGCTCGGTGGAGCACACTAACATGGGTCACCTCAGGAACCCGTAGGCTATGGAGCCCATGACTAAAGGGAGCGGAACATGCAATCCTTAGTGATGTCTCCAAAGACTTTGCACCTCAAAATTGTGTAACCCTTCCAGAGATACTTATTTTTGAGCTGATGGCATGCCATTAAAACATATTCTAAAAATCATAAAACTTCCTAATTACATTTATAGAAGCAATCCAATGAAAGGCAGTTAGAATTTCCTTGAAAACTGGGAACAACTAGTATTATTAAATTTGCCACTGACAGCCAGACCTAATCCACTATGTGGACAAACTAAAGTGTACTATTTTATTGCAAGGGAGAAAGGGGGATTTGCAGCAATGCACTAAAAATCGAATCTATCCCAAACCCAAACAAGAGATTAAGGACAAAGGGAAATACAGTGAACTGAACAAGATTCATCAATAAATGTTAACACTTATGTCTACTTTACAAAATCCGTGTACACGGTGTTTTCAGTCCCCACATGATGGGTCTCCCTAGTGTCCTCGTGCTGCATAGGAGGAGGCAAGCTCTGACACTAAACAGCTTATCACCTTGGATGAGACTTCTACATCCTAAGTCTCAGCTGTTCAACACACAGCCAAGACTCATACCAAAGTCCTCTTCTCCTGTCATTCCCTCACTGAGAGGATTACATACACCGGCATTTGTTTAATATACAGAAAACACATCGTGGGGAAAACAAGAGGCCAAGCACCTTTGAGCAGATGAACAGTATTTTCTCGATTTGAACACACTACTGATCTAGAACAACCTTTGTGACAAGGGTGGAGGAGAAACCCTACCAACGCTAAAGAGAAGTCACGAAGACTAAATGGACACTATTTTGTTGCAAGGGCAATAATGGGTAGTGCCATGATGTTCTGGCCGCTCTATATTAAGTTCTAACTACCTCATCATCCACAGGCACCTACAAACACTAAAAAAACACGTTTTTCGTGTTGCTATGATCAGAATTATCGAGCATGGAATCAAAAATACTCCTTGGCTCCCTTGGCAATAATGCAGAGATCCACTACACTAAGCTACCTATGAAACTGATGTTATGTCCCAGGGAAGATGAGTAGTTTGCCCCAGTTTTACTACTACAACAGGTAGATGCTCTCAGTCTAAGTTCCAGTTTCCTACTCTGTAAAAGAAAGGGCTGGTGGATTTCAATATAATGTTCAAATTCAATGCCAGTTCTGAGAAGCAAATAGGAACAGGGATCTAAAGGAAAAGCAATAGGTACATTTAGCCCTGCCGCTTTCTTACTTGGTGCTATCCTAAATGTCTAAACTGTCTACTGCTGTCAGCATTACATAGGAGATCAGCAAACATCACCAAAATCCCTTCTCTTGATCCCAAACCTTATTGCCTCATGCCAGGCACTATACTGGAAATAATTCAACCAGCTTTGGTTTCTCTTTCTATGAAGTTAAAAAATCTGAGAGATTCTGAGTTCAAGCTAAAAATGTTCAACTTGAAAATTTAGAAAAACCTAATTTATTAACTGGAGTTTGACAAATTCTTCTGGAATTTACCAGTCACAGGAGATCTTTGGCTTTGCATATTACAGCACTCAAGATGGGAGACAGGACTTTTTCTCCTCATTTCTTTACTTAATGAGATTAAGTCCCCACCCCCATGGGGTGGGGAACTCAAATGCCATCAATCCAACTAATAAACTTTTAAATAAGGACAAGCAGGCCCAGAGAAAGGAAGCATATAGCCCAAGTCACATCAATTTAGAGGCAGTCAAGACTAAAGTCCTGATATGGCACTGTAGGATAGCACTGTGAAGAGCTAACCGCAAGGTAGGCCGTTCAAACCCACCAGCCACACAGTGCCCCTGTATACGAAACCCTATACAGGGTCACTATGAGTCAAAATCAACTCTACAGCACACAACAACAGGACTGAAACCTACATCTAGCACTTCCTGTTCAGGATTCCAGGACTTGCCCACTTAGCCTTCTCTGATCTCAGCGGTAACAGCTATGATACAGCAACTTATACTCTTCAGAGTTTTGTTTCATTCTCTATATAATGAAGAGTTTTGGATGAATGTGAGTTCAGATCTCTGAGGCCATTCTTCACATTCCCACTTTTGGTAGGCTACCTTGAAGAGATGCTCATACTTACCCATTTCCTCTGTGGTTCTGACTTTAGAGAAAAGATGCTTTAGTAACCACAGAATGCCTCTAAATCTTTCACAATTCACATTTCAATTCCCACTTCCCTGCTGAGGGAGATGCTGTGTGTGTGTGTTTACTTACCATATCTGAAGCTTAATTTTCTTTCCATCTAGTTCTATCGTTCTGATTTTAAAATCAATTCCTGCCAGAAAAACAAAGAAAGAAATGCTAAGTTTCTTCAACTATAATCCAAGTCCTCTGAGGAGAAGGACAAAGATTTCCATTGAGGGGGAAAAAAAAACCAAAACAACAACAACTCTCCAACGCACTGGAAAATGTGAACAGAGAGGGTGTGAGCGGTATGTTTCCTCTGAATTCAGGCTGAAGAAAGGAATGCTAATTACTCTGCAAAGAATTCCCACACATGTTAAATACAGCGTATTATATGCCTCATTATTTTGACACAAATGGATCACATCCCTCAAAATTATATAATTTGAATGGATTGAGAATATGCTATATTTTCCACTTCCTGAAAGACAAATAAACAATGTTTCCCACCCCACCCCACTCTCTTCTACCATTCCCTAAAGAAGGCCGTGGGACTTCTTTAAAATGTCTTCCTCTATCTCTTTCCACTGTAAAAATCACCTATTTTGACAGGGCAGAGGGAAAGTATAATTAGTTTACACAGCAAGTATTCAATGTGACATGGCTTCAAAAAGTTTGTGGAAAGATTGAATTAAAAATAATGGATTTTTTTCTGCAAATTTTTTAAAGCCCCCTTCCTATATGAGTTAATAGATGTTTCCCACAACTTACTGGCTAGAGCTAAAGTAGCCACAATGGTTTTTTTTTTTTTTTAGCCCTGGCTGCATGTTAAGAATTACCTAGAGAACTTCTGAAAAGTACGGCTGTGTTTTAAAAGTCTGCCTTTCCTCAAAAATCTGAGATTCTGATTTAATAAAACAGAGGTGAGGCCTAAGCACCAGTCATTTTAAAAGCTCCCCAAGTGATTCTAACCTGCAGCCAGAGCTGAGAACCGAATGTTCAACATGATCTGACAGGTAGCATATGTGAAAATCATTGGGGCTCTGGCACGTCAAACATTTGACCCCTCCCTCACCTACTTCTCCTCACCCCCATCCAGTGGTAGCCCAAACCTTATTTAGCAGATTTTTACTACAACGAACTACAGTGCCCTTTACAAATACCATCGTGTAGCTGTTCAACAATAAACTGCTCTCTTTCTAAGGGGACCAGTCAGTGAATACAACTTTGTTGCAATTTGCTAAATCTTCATCATCAGCTTTTAGATTTTTATGTTCTTCTACATTCTCTATGCAGAATCCCTTAAAGTGGCTCCCAAGACACTTGATAATAAATAAGACAATAAAACTTGATAATTATGTATCCTCTAAACTGACCCAAAAATTAACTGTAGGGTTTTGTTGTTACTATGATGTTTCTACATAGAAATATTGAGAACAGCTGAAAAAGGCTGTTCTTGGCTCCAGCTGTAACTTGTATAATGCTTAGGCTTAAACGGTTTGCATTTTTTGGTTCTTCTCTGTGGGGTATTTTCCCCTCAGGGAACCTTGTCAGATACTCCAGTGAATCCTGAAATAGACAACAATTACACCTGAGCTAATACAGCCGAACAGCTTCCCAATCATTCTTTTCCCTCACTAATAACCATGTACCGTTAAATATAATCTGATACACAATATCCCCAGGTTATCTGGCCCATATTTCCCCTCCAGAACCGCAGAGTCTGCAGTGGCAGAGGCAAAACTTAGCAATACAGTAAGACTGTTATTGTTAGCATCAAGTTGCCCCGTCTACCCCACCCCTGCAAATCCACTGTTGTCATCATTCATTAAGACTTTAATACACGTTAGTAGGAATACAAAATGGTATAGAAGCTATGGAAACCAGTCTGAGTTCCTTAAAAAAACTAAGCATAGAATTATATGACCAGAAATTTGTGGTGCTGTGGGCTAATGTGCTGAACTGCAAAGTTGGTTTGAACCGACTTGATGGCACGTAAACATGCATAACCTAACGTATATCCCAAAGCCTTGAAAGCAGGACTCACACACATGTACACCACTGTTGACACAGCCAAAAGGTAAAAAGTGTCCATCAACACATGAATGGACATAAAAATGTGCATATATACGAGGGGGCTTCTAAAAGTTAATGGAATTAAAAGATAATTAATTTTGCCAAAAGTTTTTTGAAGTACCTTCTTCCTACACTGAAGTAGATCATTCATCCATAAAAGAGAAATAAAATTCTGCTACATTCCATAATATGGAAGAACCTTGAAAACATGCCGAGTTGAACAATTAGACACAAAAGATCAACTATTTAATGAGTCCCACTTACATGACTACACAAAGACTGAAATACTAAAGTTTCTTAGTGGTTTTGGGGGCAGGAGAAGGGGTGGGTGGTAACTACTATTGTTTACAGGATCGAGTTTTCATGAAGGGTGATGAAAACAGTTGGAAACAGAGGAGATGGTAGTACAACTTGTTGAATGTGACTAATGTCACTGAATTGTACATTTAAGACTGGCTGAAACAATTTTGCCACAATAAAACTAGTTAATACACATTGATGTTGTGATTTGTCTTTTTTTAGAACTCCAAATCCAGTGTCATACAGACCCTAGGGATCTGCTTCAAGCATCAAGAACATGCTCCAAACCTGACAGACACTCAATAAATCGTTTATTGCTATGAATATTTTCTTGAAAATTCATGATTTTCAAAAGATCTACTTTGTATTTGAGAATAACTTACTCAGAAATTTAATGTCCCACATTTCATCTTTTAATGGAAAAATGGAATTAAGTGAAAATGGAATTTTTCAATGAACATTCTGAAGCTGACTTATACAATAAAACCTATGAAAGCCGAACCTATGTAGGTGGAAACCTCGCAGAGGAGAAAACTCAGATCTTTTCCTTTAAAATAAGCAACAGAAAAGTTGTAAGACGGCATTCTGTTAAAGGCAGGAAAACTTGCAAGACCTGGAAAACAAGCCCGTACCATTAAGTTCTGACTCTCACAGGTTTCATGGTAGTTCAGTTTTCATTTAAAATAAAATATGATGTATATCAATATGGCAGTTAATACTTATTCTGGTTTGTTAAGATTGTAACTCCTGTTTTTTCAAGTTGGGTTTTTCTGCCTATGGATAGAGTACTAGACAACTTTACCCTCTTCACCCACTTGTTGCTGGTGTTATTAGGTGTCACCAACTCAATTCTGATTCACAGTGACCCTACGCACAATAAACGAAACACAGTCCAGTGTTGCACCATTCACACAATCACGATGTTTGAGCTCACTGCTGCAATCACCATGTCAATCCACTTTGCTGAGGGGCTTCCTCTTTTTTGATGACCCTCTAGTTTACCAAGCATGATGTCTTTTTCCAAGAACTGGCCCCTTCAAGTAATATGTCCAAAATCCACGAGCGTTCTGGCTGTATTTCTTCCATGCAAATTTGTTCTTCTGGCAGTGAATGGTACTTTCAATATTCTTCTCCAATAGGCATAACTTCTTCTCCAGTCTTCCTTATTTACTGTCCAGCTTTCACATGCCTATGTAAAAGGCGAGTAAAAATACCACGATTTGGGTTAGGTGCACCTTAGTCCTCAAAGTGACATCTTTGCTCTTCAAACTTTAAAGAGGTCTTGTGCAGCACATCGGCCCAATGCAATATGTGGTGTGATTTTTTTATTTCTACTTCCATGAGGATTGACTGTGGATCCAAGTAAAATGAAATCCTTAACAACTTCAATCTTTTCTCCATTCATCATGTTTACTGGTTGGTTTAGTTGTGAGGATTTTTGTTTTCTTTACATTGAGTTGTAATCCACACTAAAGGCTATATATTTTGATCTTCAACAGCAAGTACTTCATATCTTCATTTTCCACAAGCAAGGCTGTGTTATCTACATATCAGAGGTTGCTAATGAGTCTTCCCCCAATCCTGATGTTGTGTTCTTCTTCATATAGTCCCGTTTCCCACAGTATGTGCTCAGCATGAATTCAGTATTCCCAAGCTGAATACGCATGGTGCAAGTCATTCTGAGGCTTCCGTAAAGTCTCACTTAATCTCCATTCATTTAAAACATTTAGGAAACTTTCTACTGAGCCAGCTTTTTGTTTTTTGCATTTGTTAAAAGTTATCTGGGAAAGTTCTACCATTATCTGTCACAGGTAACCATCTTTCAATATTCAAAGATTTTCAGTGTTTTTAAGAGTTGTACACTTCAGCTTCTGTTTTTTGTTGCTGTCAAGATCAAGTTGGCTGAAAAATACTATAGAAAGAGAACACAATCACATTACCATATGAAAAAAAGCAGCCTGGGATTTAAAATTCTGAACATGTTAAGGAAGTAAGAGTTTCACTAAAAATGGAAATCAGTCTTTACTATTATTGAACAAGGCAGAGAGTCAAGAGGACTAGATTCTACATTGAGTTCTGGATTGTAGGACACTTAACTGCTCTTGCTCTGCACCTCTAGATCCTTATTCAAAAGACGGCGGCAATAATATACACCGATGCTTTCGATTGTGTGTATCATGACAAACTATGGACACCACCGCAAAGAATGACATTCCCGAACACTTAATTGTGCTCATGAGGAACCTGTAGACAAGGAGCAGTAGTTCAAACAGAACAAAGGGATACTGAACAGTTTAAAATCAGGAAAGATGTGTGCCAGGGTTGTGTCCTTTCACCGTGTTTACTTTATCTGTATGCAGGGCAAATCATCTGAAAAGATGGATTATGTGAAGAAGAACGTGACATCAGGGTTGGAGGAAGACTCATTAACAACCTGCGATATGCAGATGATACAACCTTGATTGCTGGAACTGAAGAGGACTTGAAATACTTACTGATGACGATCAAAGACCATAACCTTTGGTATGGGTTGTACCTCAATGTAAAGAAAACAAAAATCCTCACCACTGGACCAATAAATAATATTGTGATAAATGGAGAAAAGACTGAAATTGTCAAAAACTTCATTTCTCTTGGATCTACAATCAACACTCAGATTGGGCAATGTTTCATTTGGTTGTGCATTGGGTGGCTATGAGTCGGTACTGACTTGATGGCACCTAACAACAACAACAATAAACAGTCATGGAATCAGCAGTCAAGAAATCAAATGAT